CAGCCTTCCTGCTCCTCTGATGCTGCTTGGCCTGCTGTGTTCATCCAGCTCTGCACCTTGTTATCTCGGATTCTCCAGCATCTGCAGTTCCTGCTATCTCTGATTAAATACAACTTACTTGAATACATGTAGCATCAGCAAAAAGGTCGATATTTCAAAGAGACAAATTGAGGTAAATGGGTATAGTGTAATTGTCATTACAGAAAGGGTGACCAAATTGGGGAACTGAATATCAAAGGAGATTCCTAATTTAGAAATGGGAAAAAGTGAGGTAGGATAGCACTTTAATAAGGAATTGATCAATACATTAATAAGAATGGATCTTAGATTGAAGTATCAGATGTAAAATCAATTCAAGTGCAGTTAAGAAACAGTAAAGGGCAGAAAACATTGGTGGTAGTAGAACAGTTGTAGTAAATGTTGGGTGTGATATAAGTCAGGTGTTGCATGACTGACTTCTGTACTGTAAAATTCGATGATTCTGATAAGCTCAATAGTTCCATTCTCTTCTATTATTTGTCTGCACTCTTACACATGGAACTGGGTATAATCCAGCAATTAGTTTTTGATGTCCTACTTTCTAATTTACATTCTAGCCCTCAGGGTCTCATCACCCATCATACCTGAGTTGCTGATATCAAGGTGGACAACAACTAGTTGTTCGTTTCCCCACAGAACATTGTTCTGCAACTGCTGTAACTGGTCCAATCCAGTTAGATTGGAATGAATGAGGCTTTCAGTAGCAGCTGAGGTGACACAGATGCGATATTACAAAATTGGAAACAATTAATTTTATTAGTGGCACAGAAATGAGGTTGGAAGCTCATCTTGGTGAAATATGAAGCCAAATTTGCGAACTCTATATCAACCTGTGACAGTTGCCAAGAGAGGTGTCATTGACTACGGATAGGATTCTGTTGCAGCAACCAGAGACTAGTGGCTTCTGTATTCCCAATATTCAATTAAAGAAAATTTCTATTCATCCACATGCACCACTGATGTGTGATAAACAGTCTGACACTTTAGAGATTGTGGACAGGTTGCGCAAGGTCCAGGTAGAAACTGGGCATTGTCAACTTTCAAGTGAACACTGGCACACAGTTTTTTAGATGTTGTCATTGAGTAGTAATGTGTAACACAGTCATTGGAGGGGAATTGAGGATATGTACTTGGGGCACACCTGACTTGATGTAATAAGACAATTGTCTTGAGGCTGACTGTGTATTTGTCATTTCCTAACTGATTATAGAACCCAATATGATTTTAATGCTTTCTTTTACTGAAAAACATTTTTTAGTTCCGTGAAAAGTGTATTGGGTCCAAAGTAGTGTATTCTGTACCAAAAATTTATAGACCATGTGCATTACAATAAGATTTTATTTACCAGTAAACTTTGAACATTCTAATTTTAACTTGTCTTTCTTATTTAGACAAGCAAAGATCTGCTACTTGCCTTCTCTAGAGACTTTCTCAGTGGTGAAGGAGATATTTCTCGTCATCTTGGTTACTTTGGGTTGACTGTTAGCCATTTTCAGACACCTCTCCATGAATTTAATTTTGCTGTCACCAATATAGCTGTCGATCTTCGATGTGGTATTCGTTTGGTGTAAGTATATTTTAGTGATCCAATGGAATGTTGGTGTTTCTGACTTTTCTCTGAAATCTGATGCATATTCTAAAGTGTTAAGAAGTTATAAACTTTGTGGTAAGACTAATTTATATAAATAGCATTACTGACCCAACAAAGGTTTAAATATTTTGTTTGTCTCAGTGTTACTTGACATTTTGATGTTCCTCCAGTACTTTTCTCCTCTGTCTAATATTGCTCAATATGTTTCTATCTTGTATATTTTTGATTTTTGAACCAATTTTGAAAGTTTTTGATAAGTTTGAAACAAATTACTTTTTAATTCCTCGTACACCTTTCTTCCCCATCTTCCCTCATTTGGACAAGAGATCCTAAGATTTGTAAACATCTGAGTGAAGAAATTTCTATTCATCTCAGTCACAAGTGACAAACCTCTGATCCTAGCACCGTATATCCCTTAGTTTTAGACTTTCCAGCCAGGGACACAACCTGTTGACAACTTCCCTGTCAAGTGCTCTCAGAACTTTGCATGTTTCAATGAGATTACTTATTCATTTAAATCTCGAATACTAGCTCACACTATTCCATCTGACCTTAAAAGACAGCCTCCTGAACTCAGGAGTCAATCCAGGAACCTTATTAAGACCCTGTTTAAGAAACCTGTAACCTTCCTTGGAGTCAGAGGCCAGACCCGTGTACAACATCCCAAGTGTCATCTCACCAAAATCCAATGTTCCAGCTGTACTTTCTTAATTTTGTGCTCCAGCCCCTTGTATTGAAGATCAACATGCTATTTCCTCCTTGCTTGTACCTCATTATTTGCTGTACCTCCATGTTAGCTTTGTTTCTGACAAAATGTCAACCAAATCGTTTTGAATTTCAACATTTTGTCACTTAAGCAAATTCAAAAAGTTAATAACTGCTATATTTCTGCATTATATACCTTCTGCCACCATTTGCCCACTCAACCCATCTATAACCTCAGCTTTGTTTGCAAACAGTTGAATTTCTAATCATGTTCATCTTACGTCTACAGTGTAGAGCCAAATACACTTTAGTGGCAGAGCATACTGCACAATTTCCCAGTGTCTGGTTGTTCTTCAAGGCGTTGGTTTGATCTGTTCCAAAATCTGCAAAAAATTAGAATCTCCTGTGGGTTGGAAGATGGCACTGCTGTTCAGAAAAGAAGAAAGGAAGTATACAGAACAGCATGCCAGTTTGTCCAATGTCAGCCATCAGGAAAATGTTGGAATCATAAGGTGCTAGCAGCTAATTTAGAAAACAATAAAACCATACTGAGTACCAAGCCCATGTTACAGAAGAAAAACCATTTATAGCAAATATCAACTCAGATGAAAGTGCCAAGTATGGTAATACAGTTTGTGTCTATTAGAGGCACAATCACTGATTTTCATAGCATCCAACAAATGATAGCTTGTTAGTTGAAATTGATCTATTTATCATGACTGTGTTTGTTTCCTGTCCGTTGGCTATTTCTCTAAATATGCTAATATATTACTCATAGTCCCACAAGTCATTATCTTGTGCAACAACATTTTCTTGTGGCATCTCATCTGATGTTTTTAGAAATTTGAAACATGTGGCAATATCCCTGACTCATCGATACTGTTAGTTATTTATTCAAATAAATCTCTGGTAGATTGGCTAAATTTGGTTTTCCTTTTGTAATATGACTTGGTGCAGTCAACATAGTTTTACAATTTACTAAATTACCTGCTAACACATCCTTTATGAATCCAACATTTTCCTGACAGCTGACATCTGAAAATCTGGCCTATACTCTGTGCTACTTTTACTACCTTCCAATCCACTGGAACTGTCCCAAAATCAGCAGCATTTCAGAGATCAAACTTTTTTTATTCACTCATGGGATGTGTGCATTGTTGGTTGGGCCAGTGCTTGATTGTCCCTTGTTGCCATTAATGTGCTGCCCTTGTTTTCCCTCAATGGAATTGGTCATGTGTCAGGAACGTGAGGTCAAAAGACCTTTGGCAAATTTCGACAGTAGATTTGTAGACAGTATACTTCGCTGCTACTGAGCATTGGTGATGGAGTGACAGAGTATTTGTGGATGTGGTGCCAATCAAGCCCATGCATTGCGGAACAAGAATCTCTGAAATTGTGCAGTGTGCTCTGCCATTTGACTGTGGACTGTAGCCTTGAGATAAAAAATGATAAACTCCGTGGGATTCATCATTGACTGTTTTGATGTGTAATTGCTACGGAATGTATGATCATAGATCTTCATGTGGAGTTCAACAAATGTTTGATCAAATTTACGTTGATTAGTTTGAAATACAATGGAGTAAGTGCTTGGTTTTTAGAGTAAATGTTATCTGATTTTGCTGTTTAATCACTGGATATTTAAAGAAGGAAGTGAAGGAAATCATATGGATCTATTACTTTGCATTTTACCTAGCTGGACCTTCTAATCTGCCCATGGGATTTTGAGGAACAAGTATTTTTTGAAATGATTAATTTTCCTTTGACTTAATGAGTGCTCTAAATAAGCAAATCCATTTAGTAAAGTTGTCTTGAGACAAGACATTGAGCATTTCTCAATCTTGGTCGAGCTTCTCAGTCTTGAGAATTGCTAACGATATTTAATTCCAGTTTGATATGTTCAGTACAATGTTTATGTTTTTTTGATTTGGACAATCTCTTTTACAGACGAGCAGTGGAGCTTCTCACACGAAACTGGAAACTGTCAAAGCAGCTAAGAGTCCCAGCGATTAGCCGTCTTCAAAAACTGCACAATGTGGATGTTGCATTAAATGCCCTTAAAACTCGAGGAGCTGACCTGAGAGACGAACACGGTAAAATTGAAATTCTGTAATTTGACTTGAGAATACAAAACTTTTTATTCATGATTACTTTTGAACTCTTTCTTTTTCACTTTTTGTTCGTTAGACAACGTAATAGATTCGAGAGATATTGTTGATGGACATAGAGAAAAAACCTTATCATTGTTGTGGGGAATCATCTTTGCGTTTCAGGTATGTGTTCCTTAAAAATATAGCTGTCATTCTTCAAAGATGGTGCAAATAGTCTGAAATTAAAATGGAAGAGTTGCTCAGTTAGTATTGAAATTCTACACAATACATATTTAGGAATGTTTGTGACTTCATCCATTTATTTGCTTTCCCCATCACTTGGGATATTACTGTCTCAAATACAGAGAAAGGTACTCAGCTCTTTGAATTTTAGCTTGTGGCAGCCTTGTGAAAACCAGGTGGCCATCTAATGGAAAATGATATTGACGTGCAAGGGTGAACTGTTCAACAGGACTTTTTAATCAACCTTTTTGGAGATGTTACTACACACCTTTTGGAGCAGGTGGAGCTTACACTTGGGCTTCCTGGCTTAGAGGTAGGGACACTACCGCTGTGCCACAACATCCTTGAGCTGTGCAACAAAGAGTATGTACGGATTAATGCTGCATCATCAACCTAGCCATCAGATAATGAATTGTTTAATTTGCATATGCTTTACAAGCACCGCCTCGGTGATCACGTGTACACTAGATTGAATGGATCAAAGGAACATTAATTGTGGGTCTTTATGTCCATATTAAAGATAAAGGACAAATGTTTTTTGTTCAAGTGGAGCTGGAAATCAAACACAATGAAATCAAACACAAAAGGAACTCCAACAGAACGTGGCTTCAAGCAGTCATTTAGTTATAATTTGGATATTAACATGTTGATGCCAACTTTTTTCTTGTTTTCAAAAAAATGCTGTAATATCCATATTATCAACATTTTTGTTTATGAGATTAACTTTAGGAAGCATAAGCAAACTTTAACCTATGTTTGGAGATCCAGATGCCTCGTGAATGAACAGCAGATTTGGATGTCTCCTGTTAACTTGGTGGTTCTGCAAATTATTTCTATTCCTCACTTCCTTTCAAAAAAATATCCTGCAATTCATTCAAACTCATAGTAAAAATGTCAACGCTCAGACAAAAAGCCCAGTCCCATTTAACAAAGGCACCAAAGGCGAGGTTAAGTGATGATTTCCCCTGAGACCTGATCCCAGCTTCATTACTGGATTTCTGTCTACCTACTCCCTCCTCTTTAACCAAGAAGTGACTGAAATGGATCATGAACATGTTCCAAGTACAGCCTTCACCTGGGGTCCTGTTTCTGGCCTCGTTCCTGGGTTTCTGGCTCCCAGCTCCCTCTGTTTTTGTTTTCATTTCTTTTCCTCTGACCTCTCTCAATAAGTTAGTAGTGGTGCAGACAAAAGTCTTCCATGTGGTGGCACTGAGACCAATGAATGAAATAATGACAACTCCTCCAATTACAGGTTACTCCCCTCCCATCCTTACCAGTCTTGGATTATGTCTCAGGAGAAGTACAAGAAAGGAAAGGAGGAAACCTGTAATTTGAGGAGTTGCAACAGAGAGCATGGGAACAATGTAATCTGCTTTTAGAGATGCAGCTGTCCCGCTTTTGCACGCTTTTTTTGAAAAAAAATCTCTGCATCATTTTCCCACTCTTTCAATGGACCAACTGTGCCTGCAATTGTTCAGTTCTGTTTGGACTTGGGAGGAACCATTGTTTCATACAATAGGTATAAGGCAACAATTTTTGAATTTTTTTTGCTCCTATCCTTGATTTTCCACAGGTTACTTATGAGGTTGTGTTGGTAAATTTGCCTACCAACGCTGTGTATGTTCAACAATAATATGTGCTCTGGAAATTAATTATTTTGATTGTGGTATTTTTTCCTCTTAGGTGGAGATTTTGCTGAATGAAGAACAGTTACAAGAAGAAATTGAATTCTTGCAAAAAACTTTGCGCACACGCCATAAACTGGCAGCCTTGCGTTCTGTGCCTGTACAGTCCCACTCATTAAAAGATCAAAACCTCAAAGATATACCTGAAAAATACAGCCCAAGAATCAAGTTGCTAATGAATTGGATTAATGCTGTTTGTAGATATTATGGTGTCAAAGTAGGTTGATCCATTTATTTTATCTGTAAAAATTATGATTTTATGTGTGTCTTTTGAATATAGCTGTGTATAAGTGCCACCCTTCATTATGTTGTGGCTGTTTTCATTGCACAAGTCTAGCGAGTGACTGGCAGACATTTCCACCACTGCAATCATATCCTTAGCCAAATGTAATCTTGTTTCTCTCCCAGACTTAAGGCTTTATTTGTGCTCCAAATTTGTGAGCCACTGGCAACCATTAACAAAGGAAACTGCTAATTTTAGGATGATGTTGAAATTCTTGGGATTAGTCTCATCTGTAATACAAATCGATTTTATTTAAATCAATTTATTTATGGTTTTAAGTGTTTATTTTCTGGCCCCCTTCATGATAAAATTTCAAACTTTTATCACGAGTAAATGGTAACTCCAGATATAATTACAATTAAGCAGTTGTCTGGGTTCAGGTAGTTCCTCCATAAATTTCATGTTTCCATAAATGTTAGTCACTGATCAGTTTATATTTTTGTATAAGCTATAATAGCTTGCTGCAGTAGCTGTAACTTGGAACGGTGGTCTTTTGAAGCGTAAGGGAAGAGCCAACCATTTTTAAACGGGCTATACTTTTCCAAGTATGATTAGCCATAAGACATAGGAGAAGAAATTAGGCTATTCGGCCCATCGAGTCTGCTCCGCCATTCAATCATGACTGATAAGTTCCTCAACCCTGTTCTCCCGCTTTCTCCCCGTAACCCTTGATAATCAAGAACCTATCTAACTCCGTTTTAAATGTACTCAATGACCTGGCCTCCACAGCCGTCTGTGGCAGTGCGTTCCGTAGGTTCACCACTCTCTGGCTGAAGAAGTTTCTCCTTGTCTCCATTCTAAAAGGTCTTCCCTTTACTCTAAGGCTGTTCTCTCCGGTCCTAGTGTCTCCTACCAATGGAAGCATCTTCCCAACATCCACTCTGTCCAGGCCATTCAGTATTCTGTAAGTTTCAATTAGATCCCCCCTCATCCTTCTAAACTCCAATGAGTCCCAGAGTCCTCAGATGTTCCTCTGCCATTCAAATCCAGGAAATCTCTCAAGTAGATTCAGAGCAGAGAGTTTTAATATTTGCTTATACAGTTCTAAAATATCCAACTAACCAGCAAGGCATGGTTCTGAACCATGATCTGATCAGGGTAGTAATTGCCTACAGGATAACTTTTAGTTGTATTTCTGTGTTAAGCTTGCAAGATGAACAAATAGATAGGACTTTACTGACAAGATTGTTGATAAGGGAAATCTTGTAGCATGTGAAGTTATACAAATCCTGATGTGTATATTGACTGGCCACACATCTTCCCCTGGTCAGCAATGTTCAAGTTCTGTATTAATAAGCAACTGGAAATGTGATTAATGCACTCTGCCAGTGCAAGGAAATTGGTGCTTTAAGCATCTGCTAGATGAGTTGTTTGGACATTACTGTAGACCTGTCAATACCTTGACTTTGCCTTTACTTTTTCCCAATGTAATCTCTCAGTGTATTGGGTGCCTTCCCAAATAAACCTTCTCTAATTTGCCCAGTCACAAAATAGGGACTCCCATGAGTCAGCAGGAATGTTTGACCTCTTCAGAGATGTTTTGAGACAGTTCCAAAGTATTCTTGGCAGTTCTATTTCCATTAAACTGTCAACTGCCCAATATTTTACTTCTGGTCCCAAAATTTGTTAATAGTTCTCATTGAAGCACTGTTCCTCTTTCAACACTGCCATCATGCCTCGATGTATCTTATTTAGCTCCCAAATGATTGAAGAGAAGGAAAGACTTATAGAAGATATAATGAGCCAAGTGGATTACATATTTGTTGGTAATTATAATTTGTGTTGGTGTCACCAAACATAGCTAGAAATAATGATGTTACCACACATGATCATTTTGTGACCCATGGCATATGCTTGCATCAATGGTATTGTAGAAGAGCAAGATTAAGATTGTTTCTAATGCTTACCCCAAAATTGAATAGCCCACTGAAGCTCACTGTTGTGACTCTCATAAGAGGACTAACTAATGCGATGAGATTCTGGATGAGTACTGATCATGTGTGAAAATTGTTTGAGGAGGTTAAATGTAGATTTTGGTGGAAAAAGATGCTGAATTAGTATTAGACAGAAATCTCATCAACTAAGATGAAAAAATTATGCTTCAAGATACTGCAGCTGCAATCAAGTTAAATAAATACCTAATGACAGTGAAGATTTCTTTGCAATATTAAATTTGAAGACAGCATTAATTAAACTGAAGTGTTTAAATACCAAACGACCCTGTCTCCTGTAATTATCTAAGTTAATTTTACTGACGTCATGCAAAATGGATTATTATTGGAAGTTAAGTTGGGAGACTGGAGAAACTCAGCTTTTGCACTGAATCATAGAATCCTAAGAGTGTGGATGCAGGCTATTTGACCCATCGAGTCCACACTGACCCTCTGAAGAGCATCCCATCCAGACTGATTCCCCCTGCCATATCCCTGTAACCCTGCACTCCCCATGGCTAATCTACCTAACATATACATCCTTGAAGACTATGGGCAATTTAGCGTGGCCAATCCACCTAATCTGCACATCTTTGGACCATTGAAGGAAACCCACACAGATGCGGGGAGAACGTGCAAAGTCCACACAGACAGTCTTGCCCAAGGCTGGAATCAAACCCAGGTCCCTGATGCTGTGAGACAGCAGTGCTAATCGCTGCCCATTGTAATGCTCTGTGGAACAGGGAATGCAAAGAGAAGATTTGATAGCTGTGTTTTAAATCGTGAAGGATTTGCATAGAGCCAATAAAGAGGAAATGTTTCCCAGGATATGAGTTAGTAATCTGAGGATGCAGATCTAAGGTAATTGATTAAGAAAAGAAACGTAACTTGAAAAACTTGCTTACACAATGACTGGTTTGTATTGGAGTTCACTGTCTGATAGGTGTGGGTACAGACTCTCAATAGCTTTGAAATTGCTACAGTCATTAGCTTGGAAGGAAGAATAATTCAAAAGACATTGGGCACTATCATGAGAATGGCTCAGAAGCTGATGTGATTGATGGGCTAAATGGTCTGCTCCAATGTTGCACCCTTGTATGATTCTATTAAGTAAAAAACAAGAGAGATTAATGCTGACACTAATTCTCAAAGATTTGGAGTTTTTAGGAGACTATTCTGAAGTGTGGTCAGCTCATTAGTCGAGAGACTAACATAAGTAGTTTCTGAAGAAAGCCATAATAAAGGTATGAAGTAACAATTAAACTGTACTGATCGAGTTATTATTCTACTACTTATTTCAGATTGAGAACTTCACAGTAGCCTTTTCTGATGGCAGGGTTTTATGTTACCTTGTCCATCACTATCATCCTGGTCTTCTTGCTGCAGATGAAATCTGTTCGCGAACACTACAGACGGTAGAATGTGCACATCGTGGTACAGTGGCAATTGATACATCAACCAGTGATTCTGATGAAAGCTCTATTGATGTCATCCCCACAAACCTCAATGAGTCTGGTCAGTATTTTGAAGATTACGGTGACGTTAGCACCCCCGTGTTAATTACTATTTGTAGAAATTTCTAGAAATACATATTAGAAATATGTATTTGCCCCCATTCATCTGGAGTTCTACAAAACATTTGTTCTTTTATATGATGTAAAATTATTTTAAAAAGGAACACTACCAACTAATACCAAGCTGCAAGCTGTCCTAGTAGAAACTGGGACCAAAATTAGTTATAGCCTGATGCCCTTGGGCCCTAAACTAGGACCAAATGAGCACAAGGGAACAGGCGCAGAACTGACAGGGCTCAGAACCTGCACCAGCTTATCCTTAGCAAGCATTGGCCCAGACAGCTGGTGCTTTCTTAGGCCAACGCAAAGACCTGCTCCTCCAAAGCAGATCTCCAATTCCCCATTTGTTTCATATACGGGCTACTGTGCAGTGGACAAGGGTCGCCATGCTGAACTTGTCAATACTGGAGCTTTGACCAACTGGGAAGACTCCCACTAACCCAGGGCATCCAAGCCATACTGCTGCCCAAGAAGATCTTACTTGCCAGAAGGTAAAAGGCCAGTCAGATCTGGCTGCCTGTGTGGATAATGTGGGACTTGGAGGGGAGATTGCAAATAGTTGTGTCCCCATGTGCCTTCTTTTTAGGTCAGGAAAGTTGCAGGTTTGTGAAGTGACATCAAAGAAGACTTGGCAACTTGCTATAATACAGCCTTGTAAATGACATGAACTGCTGCAAATCTGCTGTGATAGAGAGGGTGAATGTTTAAGCTGGTAAGTGGGGTATCAACTCTTTCCGAGATTGTGTCGATCTCTTTGAATGTTGTCAGAGCAGCAAGCAAGTGGAGGACATTCATGTACATCTTTATCCACCACCTAAAAGGGGCTTGTTAGATTTTGGGATGTTGGGAGTCGTTTTATGGGCTACAGAATACTCGTTCTCTGATTAGTTTTTTTATGTGGCAGGTCTGGTTCAGGTTCTGATTCCTTGCGCTCTGCTCCCCAGATGTGACTAGGCAACTCTGTAATGCTGTTGAATATCAAAAAATGTGATTGGCTTTCCTTACTGGAAACAGTCCTTGTCTGGCAATTGTGTGATGTGCATTTTACTTGATTAGTCTTGTGAATAGGAAACTTTAGATATTTGCACTGTTTCCATCATTGCTGAGGTGTGAAGAAAGTCTATTTTCACTGGCTAATGAATCAGTGATTTAAGAGCCATCAAGTTGAAATAGTGAGATTCTAAGAACTTGTATGCATAGCTGAAGAATGAATTTATTTGGTACAGAGACTATTACATGTTTTTAAAAACAAGTTAATCAATTTTGATAATAGAAATATGCAGTGACAGCAGGATAGCTGGATTACTTTTGGATTGTTCGAACAGAGAAGTAACGGTCTCTGTTTATTGTGTATAATTCTGTGATTTTATCTTGTGGTACTAAGGTGAAATGCTGACTTTTGTTATAGTTATGTAAAAAATTAGATATGTACTTGAGCCATCTGTTACTTTTAGTATTACATATCATAAGTTACAAACCAGCATATTAATTTCACTTTTCAGCTTCTTCATCAAGTAGACTCTATGAAGAACTTTTGGAGAATGAAAAGAAGAATTTTAATTTGGTGACTACTGCTGTTGCGAAACTTGGAGGTGTTCCAGCAATGATCCGACAAATAGATATGTCAAATACTATCCCAGATGAGAAGGTAAAATTTAATATCCTTGCCTTGAGGCGATAACATTAAATAGTATACTACCTAATTTTATAAAAAATGAAAAAGTTGTGCGTGCTGTAAATCAGAAACAAAAACAGAAATTGCTGAAAAACCTCAGCAAGTCTGGCAGCATTTGTGGAGAAAAATCAGAGTTAACGTTTCAAGTCGAGTTCTGAGGAAGAGTCACTCAAACCGCAATGTTAACTCTAATTTCTCACCACAGATGCTGCCAGAACTGCTGAGCTTTTCCAGCAATTTCTGTTTTTGTACCTAATTTTTTAATTCTGCACCCAACAACATCTGAAGACTTATATGACTGCTGTTTTAATAAGTTATGTTTGTGGTTTAGTCTATCATTGCTGCTCTGGCCAGTATGTTCAGTGCTATTTTAACTAAATATTCCAAATGATATTCCACCATGGACCCTCACTGAATAATTTTTTTGTCACTTTGTCACAATTGATTTTCCACGGTTTTAAAAATTATTTTACAGGTTGTCATTGCGTATGTTTCATTTCTTTGTGCTCGTCTACTGGACCTTCGAAATGAAACAAGAGCTGCCAGGATCATACAGGCTGCTTGGAGGAAGTACAAGTTAAATCGTGAGCTTCAACTTTTACAGGTAGTGTGATCATCTTCTAGAATATTTATTGTCACCTACGTTGTCCCTTACAGGGTCCCAATAAAACTAACGTACGTGCAGAGAATGTAAGTTTTGCAGTGCATCTGACCTTTGCGCATAAATGTAATACAATGATATATGTTGAAACAAGCTAAACTTTAATAAAATTTACATTGTTAACTATTACCTTTATTGGTCCACATTTGCAACCAATGAAAAGGAAAGGAGATTGTAAAAGAATAAATTTTCAATTTCAAATGTATGGTCAGACAACATTGTTTAATAAGATTAGAATTCTTCTTCCAGTAATGTTCAATAGTGTTTTATACAAGCATGGTAATATGGCAATGACTTGAATAGTTGTTTTTTGCCTTAATATTTCACTTTATTGCCATTGGAAAGAAAAAAGCAAATGGTTAAATAAATTGTATGATTTTTGGATTGATTATTTTACTGTTATCTCATTACTGCAAGCATCAGAATATACTCATGCCTACATTACTCTCAACTGTACACTTTTTTCTTTCCTTTATTACATTTCATGCATATCATCAAGAAATTACAATGAAGTAAGGATGCATGTTTACACATGACTGATGACTTACGCACAAAAATGCATTTTGTCCGCAATCCATTCCAGTTATCCCATTGCCATGGTTCCAGTCTTAGTTTTAATTAGTTCAATACCATTTTAACTTTGCACCAGTGATGTGTTAAATTCTGGTTTATTGGTTGTTGCTGATTAGACATTGTATCATCCTCTGTCTTTATCTGTAGAGATGTCTTTGCCTAGCATCCCCTTACGTAGAGATATTTTGTAATTCCATATTCAGCAGAACATTGCTGCAATTCATTATTGGGGCTTAATGGAATACCCAATATGTTCAGGTATGATGTGGTACAAAGGTGTAAATTATTTAACTGCTACTCTACTGACTCCGTACTTCTTCGCTCATGTCAATTTAGATTAACGTATATAAATTAATGCATTTTGCAAGAAGATTGGCATTCCTCTCCATTTTGAAGATCCTGAGACCATGGCAAGCACAACCTAAATTGTAGATTTGTTCTTCTAATTTAAAAATTGTACTGTGTTTTAGGAAAAAGTTCAAGCTGCCTGTGTCATTCAAGCAGCTGTGCGTAAGTTCCTCTGTCGACAGCACGTTAAGAAGGAAACAAATGCTGCTCTCGTTATACAAAAGCATTGGCGTGGTCATGTGGCAAGGAAGAAAGCTCAGACAATGATGATGACAAAGATGCAAGCAGTGCAGAATGAAGCGGCAACACTTCTTCAGGTTAGACTGATATGTTACATGACGAGGACAATTTAAGGCGTAAATGCTACTACTTGTATTCCACTTGTTTTAGATGGTACCTTTTGTAGATGTTTATGATTTTCTTTTACAGTAGTAAGCTCTCAGAATTTATCTTCAGGTCTGGTCAGAAGTAGTAATTGAGTGTGGTCAATCTTTACAATTCCTCCAACTGGTTCCTATCAGCCAAAGAGACAAGAGCAGGATATGTCTGGCAACACCATTTGCAAGTTCCCCTCCAAACCACACAACATCCTGATTTGGAATTATATTGCATTGTTGTATTATTGTCACTGTCACTAGGTTAAAATCCTGGAACTTCCTTCCTAACTGACCTGTCTCAATCTGGGCACTAACTGAGTGCTTTGGATTTTGATTGAAATGAGCTGCACATGGTTTCTCAGAGTTGCCCAAGAAGAGGATATTTTCTGGGGGGAAAAAAAACACCTGAATGAATATATCTTCATCTTAGGGATTCCTTCACGCATTGGAGGGAACATTCACTGGGGCCTTGACTTAACGTGCGTTTACTTGATGAATAACAAAGGCATTGAAAAAAGATCAGATCTGTTTGATATTTTGGGGCCTTCCATTTTATCCTGATTCTGATGTTCTGTTATTTATTTTGTTGGACTACAAAAGAAGAAAATATTATTTTTTGCTCCAGTAGCCCAGTAATATCCAGATCTGATGACATGAGTCGTTTTGCCTGAATTCTGTTCCCTTGGCTACCCAGTGCTCGCTTGCTGAATACTGATGCAACATAATGAGATTTTTTTTTCCTGTGGCTTATCTTGAACAATGAAATATTTGACTTTCATTTTGCTCTGTACCAGCTACATTGGGTGAGGTTTGTCCAAATTACTCAGATTAGCATAATTATGAATCTGGTGTGGATTAGTGTAGATAACATAAATAGAACATTAGTCCTACAAGGAACAGTGCAGATCTTTGGTCCTTCTGAATTGCCTGTTATTTGTTCAGTAGATTCAATCTTCCCAATTTATTAACTGAAAACTTTAAGACGCTTGACGCAGGCAAAATCTACGATCCTTTCTAACTGTATTAAACGTGCAAAAGCAATACAGGAGGAAACCATCAAATGTACTTCATTCTGATACATTGCATATGGACTGCACTAGCAAACAAATTTTATTTCCTGCCACACCGCTTTATCAAATCCACTAATTTTGAAATCTTGAGAGCAGCAGATAAAAATGCTAAAAGGAAAACAGTTTGGACAGAAAAATGAAATATTCTTCATCAAAGATGATGATGCAAGCTTCACAGTATCACAGTAATTTGAGAATGCCAATAATTTCAGTGAGCCAGCAGATTTTCTATAACTTGACCTTCCTCTCATTTAGCTTCCTTTGTTGAGACTTCAGGGTACTTTGCCAACTACTTCAGTGAATGATTCTTAAACATTCCTACATTTCTCATGCAAGAAATCAAAAATTGGGTACTGATCTGATCTTTCTCTTCTTGACCCTGCTAAGACTCAAAATTGAATTCGATACCTTTTAAATGCTGCTATAGAAAAAAATTGTCTAAGGAATATAGCAAATTCCTATTTGCTTCGCCCTTCGTATTTCCTTCAAGCTACACAAATGCAGCATGAAGCCCCTGAGACAATGTAGGAGCCAAACCACCATAAATAATCCATGCTTAGGCTGATACCAATATTCAATGCTTTACCCAACGTATGAATAGATGTTGTTCCTTGTTGTAGTATCTTCATGACTATTTGTTTGCTGGACTGATTCATTGAAGTTGCTAGGCATTTTAAATGCTAATTTACCTTCTTTCATCTTCCCAAAGAAATTCCACCAAGTGCCTTTTCATTTTATTGGTCCTTCATTTTAGTCATATTAAGTACAACACAATTTTTGTACTTGTAGGTGTGGGTTTCATCTGGTAGTTCTGTCTGAGCTTGCTTGACTAATGTTCTTTATAAATTGTCCATGAGCAAGTAATAGCTCTGCATTACCTTAAATTTCTATTGGATAGCCTATAACTGGATCGTAATCATTTTCTCTTTACTGCTTCAGCACTGCTTTCTATATTGTGTATTGTTAGCTAACTGTAACCTGCTATTGTTGTTATTGACAGCATAGTTTGCTGTTTTGTACTTAAAGTATCCCATTTGGAGAGCACTAAAAATCTGCCTTTTGTGATGATTGGAACAAAATTTTGATTTTTAAATCTCACCCTGTAAAAAACTGAGCAGGCTAAGAGTTCAGCTATATTTATTGAAGACCTGGTTTTGTTAGGTTCTTCAGTAACTTTAAAAGTTGCATGATGAGTTAGCTTTGCATGTCAAACAATCACTTTAGGGAAAAAATTTAAAACAAACGAGAAACATGTATTTTGTTTACATTTTCTAAACTATTTTGTGGGCTTAATCATGGTAACTTAACAATGATCAATTCACTACATGAAATTGTAACATATGTACTTTGACTTTGGAGTGGTTTTCTTTTGGAGTAGTTGCTAGTCTAATTTTTAATTACAACATATTCTCGTGTGTTTTGATGTATTCTTAGTTTTGTAACTTTTTTTCTGTCTAATAGGCCTATTGGCGAAGATATGCTGCTAGAAGACAGCTTCAGCGAACACAGCACTCCTGTATTCTCATACAAAGCTACATAAGAATGAAAATTGCAGTCACCACTTATAAACGTACAATAAGGGCTATTATTACACTTCAGCGGCATTTCAGAGCACATCAGTTAGCTTTAACTGAGCGGAGGAATTATTTAAAACTCAAACAATCAGCTGTTATAATACAGTCTGCATTTAGAAGATGGAAAGCTCGGAAACTCAAAGAGCAGGCCAAGGCTTCAGTATTACTCCAGAAATACATAAAGGGTTTTCTCTGTCGATATAAATACAAAAGATTTCAACGATCCATATTCATGTTGCAAACTTGTGCTAAAGGATATCTAGTAAGAAGTGAAATTAGGAAGAGGAAGAAAGCTGTTCTTACGCTGCAGAAGCACATAAAGGCATATGTGACAGGAAAGCATGAATATGTTTCTTATCAGAAATTGAAATGGGCTGCAGTAGTATTTCAATCTGCTTATCGTGGCATACAAGCAAGAAAGCTTTTTTGCCAAACAAAGTCAGCTTTAGTAATCCAATCTGTTTTTAGAATGTATCGGCAGCGAAAGAAGTACATTGCCATTCGGAAAATGGTCATCACAATGCAGACTTTAGTAAGAGTGCGGTTAGCTCAGATTAGGTTCCGAAAATATCGTCAAGCTGCCATTAATTTGCAGAGGCGGTTCAGAGCCAAACAACAGGGGTGGAAGGAGATGCAGCATTACCGAAAACTTAGACAGGCAGCTGTAAAGGTCCAGGTGGCTTTTCGGAGATGGCAAGCTCAAAAAAAGATTAGAGAAAATGAAGCTGCAGTTAAAATACAGTCATGGTATCAAATGTGTAGAGAAAAACAAAAGTATTTACGTCAAAAAGAAAGTTGTATAAGAATACAGTCATGGTATAGATGCTGCATTGCTCAACGTGCTTTCTGGACTATCAAAATTGCAGTGCTAGTCATTCAGAAATATTACAGAGCTTACAAAGCAAGAAAAGCTCAAAATAAGAAGCATATATTGATGCTCAAGGCAGCAATAACAATACAAGCTCATTTTCATGGTATGAAGGCTCGAAGATTTGCCAGAAAATTGAAAGCTGCATGTGTTATTCAGTCATATTGGCAAATGAGAAAAGAAAGATTTAAGTTTTTACAAAGCAGACAATGTGCAATTACGATTCAGGCCCATGTGAGAAAATGGCAAGCTCGGCGAAGATATTGTTCAATGAAAATGGCCGCTTGTATTATACAAACCCATTTCAGAGCAATTGCAGCTCAAAAAAAAGTTCAGTCTGAGTACAACGCATTAAGGTCTGCAGCTATTGTCTTACAATCCGCATACAGAGGGCTTCAAGCACGAAGACTGTTTTGGCTTTTACGGTCAATTGTAAAGATACAATCTACTTTCCGAGGATATGCGTCACGAAAAACGTTCATGAAAATTAAAAACGCTGCCATCAAAATTCAGGCCTCTGTGAAAATGATGCAAGTACAAAAATATTACAGATCTCTTAAAAAGTCTACACTGTATATTCAGAGACATTACCGGGCTAAAAGACTTGGTTTGGAGACGCGAAAAGAGTATCTGAAGAAAAGGGAAGCTTGTGTACGTCTTCAGTGTGCTGTTAGATTGTACTTAATGCAGCAACAATTACGTTTGTGGAGGGAATCTGCTATTAAAATTCAGTCCATGTTCAGAATGCACAGACAAAGGAAGCAGTATCTTAAGATCCATTATGCTGTCGTCATAATTCAAAGAAGATTTCGTGCCTACAGTGAAGGGGTTTGTCAAAGACAGAATTTCATAAGAATCAAAGAAGCCATAATATGTTTACAGGCAGTATACAAAGGTTACAGTGTGCGCAAAATGATTAACCTTCAACATAAAGCAGCCTCCAAAATCCAGGCAGCTTTCAGAGGGCACGCATCAAGGGTCAAGTACTTGGCAATGCAAAATGCAGCCATTGCAATTCAGAGATGGTATAGGAGTTCCAAAGTTGGGCAGCAGCAGCGAGTTGAGTACCTTAATATTAGGACAGCAGTGATTATTATTCAAGCGGCATTTCGTGGAATGGCTACAAGGGAAAATTTAAAAGTGCAATATAAGGCTGCAGTGACCATTCAGACTGCTTTCCGGAAATTTCGAGCCCAGCATCAGTTTGCAATGTTAAAGAATGCCACTTTAACCGTTCAACGTCGTTTTAAGGCAAAGATCATGGGGAGAAAAGAACGTCAAAAATACCTGAGAATGTGCCAATCAGCAATAATAATTCAAGCAACTTATAAGGGTATGATTGCAAGAAAAGAATACAGTAGAAAATGGCAAGCTTGTATTATGATACAGTCTTATTTCAGAATGCACAAAATGTATGCAAATTTTCAGGCTAAGAGATGTGCAGCTTTAGTAATACAGAATCGATTCAGGGCACATGTACAAAGAAAATGTCAACGTCAAAAATATCAAAAGGTAAGGACTGCTGCCATATTGTTGCAAGCTTCATTTCGTGGAATGAAAAGCCGGAAAAGAATGAAAGAAATTCACAAAGCTGCTACAATTATCCAAGCTGCAGCTCGATCTTTCTCAACCCGGAAGCATTACACTACCCTGAGAGCCGCTTCAGTTTTACTGCAAAGGCAATTCAGAGCTTCGGCACTGAGCAGAAAGCAGCGGGGAATCTATTTATCTATCCGTGGCGCAACCTTAACTATACAAGCTGCTTATAGAGGCATGAAGGTTAGGCAAGAGATTCGGCGCAGGAACAAGGCAGCTACAATAATACAATCTGCATTTAGGATGCACAGAGTGTGCCTTCCATACCAGGCCTTGAGGCTGGCTACTATCATCATACAAACCCATTTTCGAGCTCACCTTCAAGCGAAAACCTATCATGACAGTTATTTGAAGCTTCGCAACAGTGTTCTGCTCATTCAGGCTGCGTACCGAGGAACGATTGTTCGACAGCATTTGAGGAGCATGCATAAATATGCGACGTTAATACAGAGTTATTATCGAATGCACAAGGAACAACAATGTTACAAGAGACTTTGCTGGGCGGCCATAGCTGTACAGAGAAGATTCCGAGCTTGCAAAGTTAGAGATGCCTGTGTGAAAAGCTATCATGATGTGAAGAGAGCAACTGTTCATATTCAGGCTGGTTTCCGAGGTATGAAAGCAAGGCAAGAAGTTAGGCGAATTTGTCAAGCTGCAGTAATTATCCAGAGGAGATTTCGTGCCTACAATGACAGAAAAAAGTATCTGTATCTTAAAACTGCCACTATAGTCATCCAACAGCGGTACCGTGCACGCCGGCTTACTCAGATTCAACAAAATAATTACTCCGCTATTCGTAATGCAACCGTATCCATACAAGCCGCTTACAGGGGTATGAAAGCACGTCGAGAGATACAGTGCAAGCACAAGGCAGCTACAGTCATACAGGCTACGTTTAGGATGCACAGGATATGTCTTCCATACAGGGCATTGAAAGTGGCTGCTACAATCATTCAAATCTATTATCGAGCTCACCTTCAAATGAAAACAGATCATGACAATTATATGAAGCTTCGCAACAGTGTTATGCTTATTCAGGCTGCATACCGAGGAATGATTGTTCGACAGCATTTGAGGAGCATGCATAAATCTGCAACGTTAATACAGAATTATTATCGAATGCACAAGGAACGACAATGTTACAAGAGACTTTGCTGGGCGGCCATAGCTGTACAGAGAAGATTCCGAGCTTGCAAAGTTAGAGATGCCTGTGTGAAATGCTATCATGATGTGAAGAGAGCAACTGTTCATATTCAGGCTGGTTTCCGAGGTATGAGAGCAAGGCAAGAAATTAGGCGAATTTGTCAAGCTGCAGTAATTATCCAGAGAAGATTTCACGTCTATAATGACAGAAAAAAGTATCTGTCTCTTAAAACTGCCGCTATTGTCATCCAACAGCGGTACCGTGCACACCTGCTTACTCGGATTCAACAAAATAATTACTCCGCTATTCGCAATGCAACCGTATCCATACAAGCCGGTTACAGGGGTATGAAAGCACGTCGAGAGATACAGTGCAAGCACAGGGCAGCTACAGTCATACAGGCTACGTTTAGGATGCACAGGATATGTCTTCCATACAGGGCATTGAAAGTAGCTGCTACAATCATTCAAACCCATTATCGAGCTCACCTCCAAATGAAAACAGATTGTGCCAATTATATAAAGCTTCGCAACAGTGTTATGCTTATTCAGGCTGCATACCGAGGAATGATTGTTCGACAGCATTTGAGAGGCATGCATAAATCTG